CGACTCTGTGGACTCTTTTAAAAAAGGCTTCAAGACTTATTTATTTAAGAAAGCTTTTAGTTGATGTCACTTTTACGTACATGTGTGTAAATATATTTTATATTGTTTCGTCTTTGTCCACTGTCCTGTACAGCACCTTGTGACTTTTATCTGTGAAAAGCGCTTTATAAATAAACTTTACTTACTTACTTACTTACATTGGTCACCCGCCCACATTATGGACCAATATTACTGTGTTTTTTATGTTTTAACCGTTTGAGTCTTGGCGAACCAACAGCTTTGTGAAGTCCACCGAGATAACTACTGTTGTGAGATAAGACTATACATGAATACATTGAATTGAATTTAGATGTATATTATTATTGTTGAAAACGACAGCTCCCCATAGTCAAAAATATACATTATTTTCAAAAAGAATTACAATCCAAGTTTGCTGACTTCACCTTTAAGCCGTAGTCGTTGTCACCTAATATTTCAAACAAATACATGAGCGAATTATCACCTTTTCACATTATTATTCACCCTTGGCGGATGCGTTGCCAGCACATAGTGAAATGTTTGAGTTAATTGAATTGGTGAAGTGCTGTGGAAAAGCCATCAGTCCCGGTACAAGGCCTGGCCCCGTCCAAACAGACGAGAGGGCCCAATGAGCAGAGTAAACATCCGTCTGTGTGGAGCTCGCGCTGCCACGACTGGGTGCTGCGTATGAATATGGATGATGTAACAAATGCTAGGAGCTGACCTACTTCCCCGTCTACTCCGCTCATGGCTGGGTCCCCTTCTGGGTGCCGCTGTCATCTCGCAACATACTGTAATAGCAGGAAGCACGCGACTCCCATGAACAAATCTACATGCTTCTACTTCCATTACTTTTCTTTTTTTTCTGTCAAAGGGGTGATGACTGTTGTGTGCTGTGGGGTAGATAGGTGCTCGCTCACTGTAATAGGCTAATCACTCACGGTGGCTCTGCTAAAGCTAGTTTGGCTGAAATGGGGATAGCAAATCTGCCTGTGTGAGGATATAGGAGGACATTTATCGCTGAGGTTTTATCTATGTATCTATTATTGTGCTATTATTACTATATTACTGTATGTGTATATTACTGTAACTTTTATGGCTGCACCATTGAGAGTTTACTTGTTGGTTCTGTGTCTGTGTGGTTTGGAAACATCACAGATAAAGAAAAGAGAGCTTTAAACAAGGTGCTCCGCTCTGCAAAGAGGACCGTGGGCTGTGAGCTTCCTGTTCTGGAGGCTCTTTATAAATCCAGACTTTTAAACAAAGCTCTTAGGATTGTTAATGACTCTTCTGGCCACCCTGGGAAAGCCATGTTCCAGCTTCTTCCCTCTGGCAGAAGATATTGCTCTCTGAGATGCAGGACATCTCGTTACGCTAACAGTTTTTATCCACAGGCTGTTATCAGTGTGAACAGAGCACTTTAATGATTTGCACGTTTTAGTCGATCCATTTCACAGTGACATTTGTTTACTGTTTTATTTGTTTTATTTCTGTCTTTTAATGTTGTTTTATGTCTGTATTTGTCTGTGCACACTTTTGCTAATGTATTCCAATGTGGTTTTTTTACTGCAAATGGCAAATAAAACTGAATCTAAATCTGAATCTGTGTTATTTATTAATCCATATCTCTGATTATGGTACTTGTGTTTGGCTAACCTGGTAAAGATAAAGCTGGGGTATCTAACTTTCACACAGCAAAGGGACTGTGTAATACAATCCATGTAACTTGTTCCTGGGTTCTGTCACTTGGTACATATGTACTGTATGTTTGGCCTCTGTCACATCTTTAGATCAGAAGACTTTGAGTGTGGACAATCAAAACATATTTTTCATACATATTAAAAAGTTAGATACCCCAGCTTTAAGAGGACATTGCACTCGACTGCCATGTCAATCAATCAAGTGTATGTATAAAGCTCAATTCATTCACTTGACGCAGTGCAACCCAAAGTGCTTTAGAAAGACAAAAACAATTTTCTTCCGCTTCATCCATTGCCGGGTCACGGGGGCAGCAGTCTAAGCAGAGACGCCCAAACTTCCCTATCCACACACACTCCACACATTCCTCCAGCTCATCCGGGCAGACCCCTAGGCATCTCCTCGGTCTCCCCCCCAGGGAGGCGTCCAGGAGGCATCCGGAACAGATGCCCGAGCCACCTCAACTGGTTCCTCTCAACATGGAGAAGCAGTGGCTCTACTCCGAGCTCCTCCCGTGTGACTGAGCTCCTCTATCTCTAAGCGAGCAGCCACTCTGCGGAGGAAGCTCATTTCAACCGCTTGTATCCACAATCTCGTTCTTTCGGTCATTACCCAAATTACATTGGGATAGACATAAAATCACACACATTGAAACAAAAACATCACTCAATGTCAGGGATAAAAGTTAGTATTAAAACTCAATAAATCAAACACAAACACACAGCTAAATACAACGGTTTTCAGCCTGGACTCAGACAATAGCAGCGATAAAGCATAAACGCCTCCTGCACATCTTTAAGAAGACTGTTCCAGATTCGAGGAGCACACACACCTGAAATTCTGGAGAGGGCGCGACACAAACTTGGTGGAAGAGAAGATTTGAAGCAAGGCTAGTATATACAAACTTGGCATTTCTCCTGCAGCGTGTATTTATTCTTATCAAACGGATAATCAATGTTATAATTGGATATTGACTGTACATGGAGTTCTCAAGCCAACGGGGCAAATATCTATATAAACATTGCTGCATTGGGAGATCCTGATTCAATAGATGTCCACGCGGGATGAGATAAACTATGCCAGACTGCCATTATTGATTTAGTGCATTAGCAGCTCTGCGTGTGACGTGAATATAAGGGGAAAGCCGCATGACGGACAAGCCTGAGCAGACAAAAGAGAGGCGTCTCGACAGAACTGGGGCTGCACACTGGAGAGCCCTCGTCTGCAGCCGCTTGTGAAATATCTTCATCTGGAATCGGCTTGGTGCGCAGCCAAAACCCCGCTAGCTTCGCGAACTGGAGGAGGGAAAGAATATCTATTTAAGCTTGACATAAGAGAGTTGACGCTTGGCAGCCGGTCAAACCTGCCTTCTAACATTTGATAAGTGAAAAAAAAAACAGGCTAATTTGGTGGATCTCTCCGGCGGTTGCACCCGTGGCCATCAAAGCGCACCGGCGAGAACGCGGAGGGATTGTTTTCGGCCTCTTCAGCCGCTCAAAAGGCAGAACGTACAAACGCCTCATTGTATAGCAAAAAGAGACACCTTTTTTTTTTTCTCAGCTCTTCACGGTCCGACTCGCACTCAAGGTGAGAGCAATTATGTTTCAAGGACGGCTCGCCCCTTTCAGGTCAGGGGGTCTGAGTAATGGCAGACCCCTCCTGCTTAACATTTTACATCTAATTTGGAAAGTGCTGAACAGAGAGCTTAATTAACACACGCCCCGGCTGAGCTGCAGAACTTAACGGCCGCTCTCTGCCTCTGCCTCGCTCTTTCATTTGTCGAGGGCTGAAAACGCAGCGGTGCAGAACGATTGTCCGAACGGTTTGGCTCAGATCTGCTGAGAAAGGTCGTGAAGGAGGCTGACGTGGCACAAATGATAACGCCGATGTCTTTTTGAAAGGGAAGAGAAGCAGGGAAAGATGTGGGGCATATGGCAGATCAAAATAGTTCAGGCTAAAAAAAAAGTACATTTGTATAAACTTGTAAGAAGTTGGTATGTTCAGGGTTGTTTTAAGAAAAGCATGGGAATCATCAACATTTATTTTATACAGACGTTTTTTTCTAATTTTATTAATTGCTCCAAAATTATGAAACGAAAAAAATCTAAATCAATTATCTAACACATTTAATTATCTCAAAAACTAAGGCTCTTACAGGAAATACAGAATACTAATGCCTTTTGATTTTGTCTGCTCTACAGTAATTAAAAAACTGTTAACTGACATGAATGAGAAATGTGACTGAAATACAGGAAAACAAAGGTTAAAAAAATAAAATAGAAACAATATATATATTTATGAAGCAGGTAAAAGAACCTTACAGCGCCCTCCAGTGCAGGGACTTTGTTTTAGTTTTAATTTCCGTATTGACAATTCATATGTCGCTATCGTTATAGTAGTAATGGTAAAAAACCACAATAGATCAGATTAGAGAGACAATTCAACTTATACCCTATAGTCTGAGTAATGCTTCTCCAATAGGTCAGGACAAGAACAAATATCTGTTGGTGCTAAAAATAACAATGTCTCCATGTGGATATACTTATATATGAGTAATCCATGAGTGTCCGGTCAAGTTAGGTCAAATATAGTATAACACGTTTAAAAGTAACCTCACAAAAAGGATCAGACTAAAGGTAAACATAGAAAAAGAACAGCTGAAAGTATTATTATGACTGTGTGTTTGTTGTAAGTCAATTCCCGACCCCAGATAGGAGAGGTGTGTTCATTAAAGATGCAGTTAGCAATGTTGTTAGCTTTGTTGTTAGCTTAGCCGTAGCACCAACTCGAAACCACTCCCCCCTCCCCTCCACCAAACCACTCCCCCCTCCCCTCCCTCTCCACCAAACCAAACATCCAGCATTTTCTTTTCTTTGTCACAGGGAGAGTGAAGCAAACGTGAAATCGGCATTTTCTGTTCAGCCATTTTAGGTTTTAGAAAATCCTATAAACTCCGGTGCACTCAGAGAAACAGGAAGTGGGTGAAGGCGGTAAACACATCCCATTGGTTTATTTTTATCGGTCCGCTCCAAAATATTTTCTATTAATTATTGTAGTCCATTACTGTTTGAAAACACATGATTACTTGATAATTTTAGGGTTTAGGGACGTTTTCCCACAATATTTAAAAAAATGCATCTGGAAAAAATCACTGACTGTATCTTTAACATGCACTGTCCCAACCACATAAACAATCAATAAATACGAATAAAAACAATCATTAAAACTTCATTGACACTTTGTCCTGACTTCAGTCCATCGTCACGACTCTCGATGTGATTCAGATGAAAGGAAGTGGAGCAGAGGTCATTTGTTTAGATCACACTGCGCTGCATAATTAAAAAGCAGCTCATTCCTGAACTACAACCGCCTTTGACAGATTTTAACTTCCCCTTTTGAGAATGTTGTTTGGGAAATACACAGAAGTCAGATCCATTCATTAACACCTTCCTTTCTCTCGTTAGTTGGCAAAAGTGTAGTCCAGGGACCAAGAATCAAAGGCTATTAGTAAAACCTAATACGTGAGTCTTAGCCGCCAAAAATATATCGTTATGTATGAAGCACCTTGTGAAGACTGAGAGATCAAAGCGTTTTAAAATGATTGTTGGCGTTTTTCCTCTCGCTCCACATGAGAAGCAGGGTGGGAAAATTGTCCTCTGCATTTGACCCTTATGCCCTCAGGCTTACGTCAGGAGCAGTGGTCGCCGTAGTAACAGTGGCCAGATGTTGATGCTCGGCTTGGTCAGGACCAGAGCTGGAGGATTTTTACATTTCCAGCATGTTTTTAGTGGTAGGGGAAACCGGAGCACCCAGAGGAAACCTACGCAGACACGGGGAGAACATGCAAACTCCACTCAGAAAGACCCTGTTCCGACCGGGATTCGAACCCAGGACCTTCTTGCTGAGAAGGTCACAACAGTGTTACCAACAGTGTGACCTGCTTGAGGTATAACTAGGAGGAGGAGGAGGAGTGGGAGGTGGAGGAGGAGGAGGAAGAGGAGGAGGAGGAGGCGGAGGAAGAGGAGGAGGAGGAGGAGGAGAAGGAGGAAGAGGAGGAGGAGGAGGCGGAGGAAGAGGAGGAGGAGGAGGAGGAAGAGGAGGAGGAGGAAGAGAATAAGGAGGAGGAGGAAGAGGAGAAGGATGAGGAGGAAGAGGAGGAGGAGGAGGAGGAAGAGGAGAAGGAGGAGGAGGAGGAAGAGGAGGAGGAGGAGGAAGAGGAAAAGGAGGAGGAAGAGGAGAAGGAGGAGGAAGAGGAGGAGGAGGAGGCGGAGGAAGAGGAGGAGGAGGAGGAGGAAGAGGAGGAGGAGGAAGAGGAGGAGGAGGAGGAGGAAGAGGAGAAGGAGGAGGAGGAGGAGGAGGAGGAGAAGGAGGAGGAGGAGTGGGAGGAAGAGGAAAAGGAGGAGAAGGAGGAGGAGGAGGAGGAGTGGGAGGAAGAGGAAAAGGAGGAGAAGGAGGAGGAGGAGAAGGAGGAGGAGGAGGAGGAGGAGGAGGAGGAGTGGGAGGAAGAGGAAAAGGAGGAGAAGGAGGAGGAGGAGAAGGAGGAGGAGGAGGGGGAGGAGTGGGAGGAGGAGGAGAAGGAGGAGGAGGAGAAGGAGGAGAAGGAGTGGGAGGAAGAGGAAAAGGAGGAGAAGGAGGAGGAGGAGGAGGAGTGGGAGGAAGAGGAAAAGGAGGAGAAGGAGGAGGAGGAGGAGGAGTGGGAGGAAGAGGAAAAGGAGGAGAAGGAGGAGGAGGAGAAGGAGGAGGAGGAGGGGGAGGAGTGGGAGGAGGAGGAGAAGGAGGAGGAGGAGGAGCAGCCATCATTCAATTGTAAAAAAAACAAAAACAAAAATAACATCTCACTGTTCTCAGGTCAAATATTTAAATGCAATTAATTAATAACAAAGCCTGTATTTAATTAGATCATTTTTTAATCGAGTCCCGGCCCTAGTGATTCCATATTGTAGTATTTGTGACTTATGGCTATCAGGCTTGGATGACGACTGCTATGATTTTCATTTTTATGACTATATTTTTTTCCTGTGTCTGTGCAGCACTCTGGAAACTGCTCCCTGAAATTTGATCTAAAAATAAAGTGGATTGGATTGAAAAAAAATGGCAGAAATCTGATCCCTGACGTCTTCTGCTTCTGCGAGGAGCCCTTGATATGACCACATGAACGGAGAAGGAGGAGGCGGAGGAGGAGGAGGAAGAGGAGGAGTGGGAGGTGGAGGAGCCTTTGATATGACCACATTGCTTTTCAACACTGGACTGAATAAACAACAGGGGGCCGTGGGTGTCGTGGATTCTAAAGCAGCCAAAACCCTGTCATTTCATTGTTTAGTCCTATATCTACAGCTTACTTCAGTATCTGCACTGGAGAGTCCTATATCTACAGCTTACTTCAGTATCTGCACTGGAGAGTCCTATATCTACAGCTTACTTCAGTATCTGCACTGGAGAGATTGTCTGCATCTAAGAACATACAAGTCGGACTACTCAATGACACCCCCCCTGCTACGAGTCTCTCTCCACTGCAGAGAACTGACTCACCAAAACACTGAACACAAAAAGGCGATAGGGAACTCCTCATAGAGCCCGAGGAAAATGCCACAGTTCTGAGCAAAGACCCTAAGCTGCAGCGATGACAAATCTACTCCCTGATACACTGAGATGACATAGGCAGGGTTCCACACAGCCACACAAAAGTCTTTCGGATGCTATTCCGGACACAGGCTGCTCGCTTTAAGTGGGCAGTGGCCTTGACCGGAGGATTATTGTCGACTCCACGGGCTCTATACGGCCGAGACACTTGAGTGAGGACGGCAGCGAAGGCCCAGTGCAAGAACATGGTGATCAGAGCACCATGGACAGCGCTGGTTTGGCCTGGTTCAAGTCAGCACCACGGAGAGCTCCAGCTGAGACCCAGGGAAAAGAAGAACATGCAGTAACGCTTCGACTTTCAACAGCAGAATCACAAGACTGAGACTGGCAGAGGGATTTGAGGCTTTCAATGTCACCACAAGAAAAACAAGCACAGGCATAGCTGATTGTCTCGTTCACTCGCACATATTGCATTTACCCAGTGTAAGAATGAATACAACGGAAACACATTCATATAATCAGTATTACTATTTTGATTTGATTGGGGTTATTTGTTTTGGGGTTTTTATGTTGAATAATAGCTTTAGTTTGATCCCCAATGTCCATTCTAAAGCATAGAATGGACATCTGAAATGTCTCCACTGTGAGACTAATAAAGGTTTATCTTATTATAGTAGTAATAATCATGATGTTATATAGATACAAGAGTATTAATGACAAACTGATAATTAGAGCATAGAAAAAAAAGATACTATCAATCATATAAGTGACCAGTCTAGGTTATTTTGACTATAGGCACAAATATTTAGCATACATGTGTGAGTGCAGTGAGTATACTGTGTGTGGGTGTATCAACAATTATAAAACACTGAAAACTGAAGTAAATCCAATCTAAACTAAATGTCTATGAAGCTCCAGGGTTTGACATTTGGGGATTTCTTTCATCCCGCATGACTTATTTAGTGGATAGGGTTCAGGGGAAAACACATGCCTTTGACCTGTAAAAACTGCAGTGGATGTGAAATTGTATTTGCTATTTATATTTGGCTGCAGCCACTTTCTAAAATTCACTCTTCCGAAACAAAAGCACAATCTGTATGCACTGCTTTTAATTGAAGAAAAACAAACCAATGTAAAAAAACATCTGCTGTAACTTTGAAGTGGAACATGTGGTTAAGCACCGTGGACAGCACCTGTATGCTCTGCCTGCGTCAGCACCACGGAGAGCTCCGAGTGAAGCAGGCTGAGGAAATCACAGTGTATTTATCAAAACACAAAACAAAGTATTTTAGCAGCAGCTGTGTCTAGGCATTTGTAGTTGAGTCTAGGTTTAAGTTTAGGGTCTTGTTTGGTGTAAGAAAGAAGAAAACAAAAGCAGATTGTGTTAATGGTGACGTATGAGCAAATGAACTAGTTTTAACCATGTTGCAACTGGGGCGACAGTGGTTCAGTTGGTAGAGCATTGGCCTTTGAGCCTGAAGGTCGTGGGTTCGAGACCTACCACAAGAACTACTTCAAGACCCCCACTGATGTCTGCTGCCGTTGTGTCCTTGGACAAGACACTTAACCCCACTTTGTCTGAAGCCCCCGCTGAAAGATCTCAGCACCTGCAGGAGGATCAGTGAGGGGCTGGTGCTCTGTGGACTGGGTGTAGCTCTGACTGCCACCCCCCGACCCAGAAATGGATTAAGGGGACGAAGATGGATGGATGGATGTTGCAACTGTATTAATGTGAGCCACTAGGATCTGCTTTCACGTTGGCACTTTTTCATGATGATAATAGTGATGACGCATGAAAGTCATAAACCAGCTCTGTAATGTTCAGCAGCAACATCTGAGAAAAAGTTTTGAGTCAGTTTATGACCAATGACGCAAAGATATTCAACATAAATCTAACTTTGACAGAAAACAAAATCAGAGCATAAGATCAGATTAGACCAGTCGTGTTGATCTGGTCCTCAAAGGGTCTGTGTGGCTGCAGGATTTCATTCCAACCAACCTAAAGGGGTGGAGTCTGGTGGGCTCCTGCTTGGTTGGAATGAAATCCTGCAGCCAGACTGGCCTTTTGAGGACCAGTCTGACACCCCTGGATTACACAAACTGACAGTTTCTATATCCTCAGAGATTTAACCTTGACACATTTCAATGGTAACAGCACTTCTTGGTGGTAGAAGCAAATATGCAGCATTTGATCATGAGTGTCAGTCGAGACACAGAGTTAAAGTAAAGTCAAATTTAAGCTTGTAAATACATCATTATGCAACCATTAGTCTACAGTCGAAGCATGATTTTATGATATATCTACACCAAGTGGCCTCTGACATGGCATCATGAGCCAGTCAATAAGATGTCTCCACTTATCCAGACTTTAGGCCAAGAAGAGCAAGACCTTCTGACTACCGGAAAAGCTGACATTGCTGCGGATGTCTGCGATACAGAATTCTACTAAGAGACATGTTTCTATGGGTTAATCAATAAAACTGTGGTTCTTATTGGATGAGGAGACTGTCCAATCAAAAGGAGATACAGACCGTGAAATCTCTGTACAGTGTATATTTAGTCCACACTTTGTCGGCCACTGCATACAAGACTTATCTGAGTATCCAGTCAGGTATTTCTTGCATCATTGATACTTTGCCTATGCTTCTCAGTCCACTTTAAATTATACAGACCAACTATTCATAAGCAAGTTTGGTTAATTCAGGACCATGATTTCAACCAGAGTCATGGTCGAGAGCGCAGTGGGGGCACAACGGTGTGTGATACAGGTCGAACATTCTCTCAAAAATCTGGGAATGAGATCAATGGATGGACATAAACGTTTGGAAGGATTGATTGATGGACTTGGGCCTCATGGTACCTAGCACTGGTGTGGTCAACTCTGGAGAACGGTGAACGGCGGGGATCCAGTTATATGAAATAATTTGGACTTAATTGGCTTTAAAGTTTACACTGCCTTTGATTTGACCAGCTAAAGTGCTTGTACAAATTCCCACAAGGCATATGTGTTGTTTTCTCCCCAATGTCTGGACTCCCCCCTCCCCCTCTACATGTCTGCCTCCCTCTCTATTCAGTCTATGGTGGTCTTCCCCCCCCCCCCACCTGCCCCACCCACCCTCCCCCTCTGACATGCCATATTGGACGAGGCGGGTCAGAGTGATTATGTGATCTTTAAAAAGATCTGCATGTTTTCCGCATGCACCGTTTCTCTCCAATAATGTCTGTTGAAATATATGTTTTGTTTTGCTCTCTGCTGTTGAATAACTGTCATAAGGAGCGCGGAAATAACTGAATTTCTCCATCTGTGAGATAATAAAGGGTTGATTGATTGATGCGTCTTGAGCCATTGCAGTGAATTGTTATAAACCTCCTACATTCACTATTCCCAACTAAAACTAACAACATAGCATTACCCACCGCACATAAACAGTGTTAGCAGCGTGGACCATAGTGCCTTGACCATGACTACAAGTAGAATAACATCCAGCATTCAAGCAAAGTGACAGTGACAGAAAGAACACCAGCGTAACCCTTCAAGAGAGAGAGTTATTTCTATCGACACTGCTCCTTCGCTGAGCGCCGCCGCTATGCTAATGTTCCTCCAAATAGGGCCTTTTCAGGACATGTCAGATAGATTAGAGCACTGGGAGGTGAAGGACTGAGACAGGAGCGCAAAGCAAGCCCAGGAGGTCGGCAGCAGTGGCCCATAGACCTAACCTTAGCAGGGGGTAAAGAGGAGAGGGAAGGCGCGCGATGAGCACCCAGGGGTGTTTTTTTTATATGGAGAGTGGCTGGTTTTGAGAGGCGGCAGCTGTTAGACTCTGCTCCACATACGACTAGCTTGCGCATCCCTATTAAAGTGATTTGTATTTGAGCTGTTTGTCTGTAGCCGAGTGGTAACAGAAATAAGATCCGTGGTTATGCAGGTGAAACCATGAAAACTACTACATGGAATTGACTTGTCATTCAACTTACAATGTACAACACAGATAAACTGATATTTAATAAAGTCATTCTACAAACTGAGATATGTCAAGCCTTCATTTATTTAATTATTTGGTTCATGAACACATCACTCCGGACTGTACCTTGGGCTAATTTCCATCCGTTGTCCCACAGTCGCACTCACAAACACACACTCATTCACCCTGAACTATTGTGCATGTTTTTAGTGGTAGGGGAAACCGGAGCACCCGGAGAAAACCTACGCAGACACAGGGAGAACATGCAAACTCCACTCAGAAAGGCCCTGTTCCGACCGGGATTCGAAAACCCGGAACCTTCTTGCTGAGATACAAAAACAATGCCACTGCGATATAGAAGTGGACTCAGCGTATGTGTGTTGTGTAGTGTCTGGTACTCACTTTGTCGATAGTGCCGCTGGTTTGATGCTAAACGGCAATAAAGGTGAATCTAAAATCAAGTCGGTAATTGTCAGTTTCTTCAGATTGTGAAGTGCAAGAGAAAAATGTCAAGAGCAAGTTTACCCTGACTGCTTCCTTGTTGGAGAAATAATACTTCAAATTGTTGCCAGTGGCTGACATATTCTCCTCCAACAACTCTCAGTGATCATGGTTTTGCCAAGAAGAGGGACTTTTTCAAATACACAACTTAAACACAATAAATCCACATGAAAGCCCAAGAAAAATGTGATACAAAGTTACGGACGTCACCTTTAATCAATCAACCAGTGTTTTTCTCAAACACAGATGATGATGATAACCCTCACCACAGGGACAGGAGGCAAAATAGGTTAGACAAAATATAACTATAAGTATATTCATATAAGCTGGGTTCGAATCCCGGTCAGAACAGGGCCTTTCAGAGTGGAGTTTGCATGTTCTCTCCGTGTCTGCGTATGTTTCCTCCGGGTGCTCCGGTTTCCCCTACCACTAAAAACATGCGCAATAAGTCTGAATGTAAATGAGAGAGTGAATGATGGTGTTGGGTCAGAGGCTTTGATGGTCCAGTGTGTTCTGGACTCGCTTCTGTCATCACCGTGTGTGGAAGGATTGGAACAATATCTGACTCTGAACATTGGAAAGTGCTTTGGGTCTGTACCTTGGTCTGTAAAATGCGCTATATAAATAAACATTACTTACTTACGTATAAATATGTTTTGGATACTGATCAGAAAACATCCTTTAAAACAAGGTCAACAGCTCATGCCAGTTTTATGTAACATGTCCCCTATAAAAATAGTAACATTACTTTTATGTAAGAATAGTGTCTCAGTTGACATGGTTTTGCTGCTGTGCTAATAATAGCCTTTGACCAGCAGTGTTGAGGCTGGCGTAGGGGGTTGGTATGACAGGCCCGGTGACCTCTGGTGCTCCCACAGGCTGAG